CCCCGCGCGGAGGGGGCGGCGGTTGCGGGCCCCTAACGACTGCCACTCCGTGGGCGGATCCCGGGCTTTGTGTTATCATGCCATGGGCTGTTTCCACACATTTAAAAAAAAAAAGTATACGCGTGTTGTTGGATTTTTTGAGGGTAGAGAAGGCTGGTCAAATTGAGACAAGCTGTGGGCGTTTATTCTTTTTTTTTTTGCCCGCATTGTGGAAGAATTAGGAAGGGACTGAGCAAGCTGGTGGTAATTGTTTTGGTTTGTTTTGCTTGTGTGTTGCACATTGTGTTGTCGTGACGCCGCTGAGAGAGGAGGAAGCTACTTATCGAATGAAACTCTCTCTCCTCATTTATTCGCATCGTCTAGCGGTTAGAGTTTAAGGGTGAGGCAGGATTTTTTTTCTTTTGGAGGCACGCACGCACACAAGTGGAGTGTGGAAGGAAATAGCTTTTGAAGGGTTTTTTTTTTGCCGTGCACCGTGTGGACGTGATTGTGGGCGATCTTAGACGAGGGAGGAAGGCCTCGGAGTGGTGGGAACAGGCAAGTACACGGCATCAGCTTTTACTACGGGACTGTAGTGTAATTGTTTTTGTCATTGCAATCTTGCCACATATACACGGGATACTTAGGCATTGTTATATATATATATGGTTATATACCCGTAGAAGTTCTGTTTCCGACGAAGAGGATAAATTAGAAGAAAATGGTATTAGCGCTGTGCCATTTCCTTCCACGTGACGTGGTGCTGCAGTTTGGGTTATTTTTACTCTTGGTGTCGTGTATTTTGCAGGCTATTTTGGTTGGAAACCATGGCAAGGAAAGCGGGTCTGGCACTATTGTTGCACGTGATGGCGCAGTTGGTGCGGGCGAGATTGTCCACATTGGAGCTCGCCCTGCAATGTACACGGCAGCTGGAGCCAAGATTTGTGCGTGGTCGAACAATTCCGACCTCATTTCTGTGGGGTGCGCACGTTTTGTAGAGGCATTTCACGTGGTTATAGGACTTCTTTTATCTAGCTTCATTGTGAGTGTGCTGTCACTCTTGTTTGCCATGTTTTGTGTTGTTCCAATGAGCAGGACAACCACTTCTTTGGTGTTGCTTACGCAATTGTCTTTGTTTTTTCCGGCACTTCTACACACGGCAGCTATTGGTTTTTTTTTTCAACGATGCGAGCACTACGCAAAAGATGTTGCGAGCCGCAGTGTTTTTTCTGATGCGAAGGTGAAATTTCGTCTGGGATATTTGCCGAAGCTGGCGATTGCCTCAGAGGTGTGTTTGGGTGTCGGTTTTTCAATGCTTTTTATTCGTCTTTTGCTGACTCTCTTTTATCGACAGTCGTTGAAGAAACGTGACGTGGTACGGCGCGACATTGGGCGGTTCATGCGGCACCACCTGGTGAACGACGATTGGGAACGGCAAAAAGCGGTACTACAGTCGCATGCGCGCAGTGTGCAGTTGGAGATGGTTGCGTGCGAGGTTGATGCGGGGGCAGCAAAGAGGAACAGGGGTGGAGTGGGTGGCGCAGCGAATGGCGAGACAGAAGAGGATGGGTCTGAGGGCTTTACTTTCAGACCCACACCCGCCCACTCGGTGATTGCGCTCGAAACAGGGAAGGGTGCGGGGACCAGTTCGGTGGCCAACGAGCCATCTTGTCACCCACCAAGTGAACCGTGAGTCGAAGTATTGGGTGGTGTTTGGTTGCTGCGGTGTGTGCTCTGGGAACGGAGGCGGATGTGTTTTGTGTCATCCTTCCCGTATGTGTACTTTCTGTCTGCACGGGTAGGAAGGAGAGCGTTAGTGAAGGATGTGGCTACAGGTGTGTGGGGTGGGTGGGGGAAGGAGCGAGTGCTAATAGTTAATGGCCCGGTTGGCACTTCTTTGGGCTTCCCCCTTTTTTTTCTTTGTTCCGTTGGTGACGTGCCTTGAAGCTCCTCGTCGTCGTGGGCGGCGTTCTCCGTTTTGGTGCTGTTGTTTTCTTTTCGGCTGGCCTTCTTTGCTTTTGTTTTTTCCCTTTTTTTGTGTTTTTGTTTTCGCTCGTTTTGTTTTTATTTTTTGTTTTTGCGTTGTCTTTTCTGTTGCCTCCT